CGTTGCTGCAGTGAGCTCACGCGTTGCTGCAGTGAGCTCACGCGTTGCTGCAGTGAGCTCACGCCTTGCTGCAGTGAGCTCACGCCTTGCTGCAGTGAGCTCACGCGTTGCTGCAGTGAGCTCATGCGTTGCTGCAGTGAGCTCACGCCTTGCTGCAGTGAGCTCACGCGTTGCTGCAGTGAGCTCACGCCTTGCTGCAGTGAGCTCACGCGTTGCTGCAGTGAGCTCACGCCTTGCTGCAGTGAGCTCACGCCTTGCTGCAGTGAGCTCACGCCTTGCTGCAGTGAGCTCACGCCTTGCTGCAGTGAGCTCACGCGTTGCTGCAGTGAGCTCACGCCTTGCTGCAGTGAGCTCACGCCTTGCTGCAGTGAGCTCACGCGTTGCTGCAGTGAGCTCACGCCTTGCTGCAGTGAGCTCACGCCTTGCTGCAGTGAGCTCACGCGTTGCTGCAGTGAGCTCACGCGTTGCTGCAGTGAGCTCACGCGTTGCTGCAGTGAGCTCACGCGTTGCTGCAGTGAGCTCACGCGTTGCTGCAGTGAGCTCACGCGTTGCTGCAGTGAGCTCACGCCTTGCTGCAGTGAGCTCACGCGTTGCTGCAGTGAGCTCACGCCTTGCTGCAGTGAGCTCACGCGTTGCTGCAGTGAGCTCACGCCTTGCTGCAGTGAGCTCACGCCTTGCTGCAGTGAGCTCACGCGTTGCTGCAGTGAGCTCACGCCTTGCTGCAGTGAGCTCACGCCTTGCTGCAGTGAGCTCACGCCTTGCTGCAGTGAGCTCACGCCTTGCTGCAGTGAGCTCACGCGTTGCTGCAGTGAGCTCACGCCTTGCTGCAGTGAGCTCACGCGTTGCTGCAGTGAGCTCACGCGTTGCTGCAGTGAGCTCACGCCTTGCTGCAGTGAGCTCACGCCTTGCTGCAGTGAGCTCACGCCTTGCTGCAGTGAGCTCACGCCTTGCTGCAGTGAGCTCACGCCTTGCTGCAGTGAGCTCACGCGTTGCTGCAGTGAGCTCACGCCTTGCTGCAGTGAGCTCACGCCTTGCTGCAGTGAGCTCACGCCTTGCTGCAGTGAGCTCACGCGTTGCTGCAGTGAGCTCACGCCTTGCTGCAGTGAGCTCACGCGTTGCTGCAGTGAGCTCACGCGTTGCTGCAGTGAGCTCACGCGTTGCTGCAGTGAGCTCACGCCTTGCTGCAGTGAGCTCACGCGTTGCTGCAGTGAGCTCACGCGTTGCTGCAGTGAGCTCACGCCTTGCTGCAGTGAGCTCACGCCTTGCTGCAGTGAGCTCACGCCTTGCTGCAGTGAGCTCACGCGTTGCTGCAGTGAGCTCACGCCTTGCTGCAGTGAGCTCACGCGTTGCTGCAGTGAGCTCACGCCTTGCTGCAGTGAGCTCACGCGTTGCTGCAGTGAGCTCACGCCTTGCTGCAGTGAGCTCACGCGTTGCTGCAGTGAGCTCACGCCTTGCTGCAGTGAGCTCACGCCTTGCTGCAGTGAGCTCACGCCTTGCTGCAGTGAGCTCACGCCTTGCTGCAGTGAGCTCACGCGTTGCTGCAGTGAGCTCACGCGTTGCTGCAGTGAGCTCACGCCTTGCTGCAGTGAGCTCACGCGTTGCTGCAGTGAGCTCACGCCTTGCTGCAGTGAGCTCACGCGTTGCTGCAGTGAGCTCACGCCTTGCTGCAGTGAGCTCACGCGTTGCTGCAGTGAGCTCACGCGTTGCTGCAGTGAGCTCACGCGTTGCTGCAGTGAGCTCACGCCTTGCTGCAGTGAGCTCACGCCTTGCTGCAGTGAGCTCACGCCTTGCTGCAGTGAGCTCACGCGTTGCTGCAGTGAGCTCACGCCTTGCTGCAGTGAGCTCACGCCTTGCTGCAGTGAGCTCACGCCTTGCTGCAGTGAGCTCACGCCTTGCTGCAGTGAGCTCACGCCTTGCTGCAGTGAGCTCACGCCTTGCTGCAGTGAGCTCACGCGTTGCTGCAGTGAGCTCACGCCTTGCTGCAGTGAGCTCACGCCTTGCTGCAGTGAGCTCACGCCTTGCTGCAGTGAGCTCACGCGTTGCTGCAGTGAGCTCACGCCTTGCTGCAGTGAGCTCACGCGTTGCTGCAGTGAGCTCACGCGTTGCTGCAGTGAGCTCACGCCTTGCTGCAGTGAGCTCACGCGTTGCTGCAGTGAGCTCACGCCTTGCTGCAGTGAGCTCACGCGTTGCTGCAGTGAGCTCACGCGTTGCTGCAGTGAGCTCACGCCTTGCTGCAGTGAGCTCACGCCTTGCTGCAGTGAGCTCACGCCTTGCTGCAGTGAGCTCACGCCTTGCTGCAGTGAGCTCACGCGTTGCTGCAGTGAGCTCACGCCTTGCTGCAGTGAGCTCACGCCTTGCTGCAGTGAGCTCACGCCTTGCTGCAGTGAGCTCACGCGTTGCTGCAGTGAGCTCACGCCTTGCTGCAGTGAGCTCACGCGTTGCTGCAGTGAGCTCACGCCTTGCTGCAGTGAGCTCACGCGTTGCTGCAGTGAGCTCACGCCTTGCTGCAGTGAGCTCACGCGTTGCTGCAGTGAGCTCACGCCTTGCTGCAGTGAGCTCACGCGTTGCTGCAGTGAGCTCACGCCTTGCTGCAGTGAGCTCACGCCTTGCTGCAGTGAGCTCACGCGTTGCTGCAGTGAGCTCACGCCTTGCTGCAGTGAGCTCACGCGTTGCTGCAGTGAGCTCACGCCTTGCTGCAGTGAGCTCACGCGTTGCTGCAGTGAGCTCACGCCTTGCTGCAGTGAGCTCACGCGTTGCTGCAGTGAGCTCACGCCTTGCTGCAGTGAGCTCACGCGTTGCTGCAGTGAGCTCACGCCTTGCTGCAGTGAGCTCACGCCTTGCTGCAGTGAGCTCACGCGTTGCTGCAGTGAGCTCACGCCTTGCTGCAGTGAGCTCACGCCTTGCTGCAGTGAGCTCACGCCTTGCTGCAGTGAGCTCACGCCTTGCTGCAGTGAGCTCACGCCTTGCTGCAGTGAGCTCACGCGTTGCTGCAGTGAGCTCACGCCTTGCTGCAGTGAGCTCACGCGTTGCTGCAGTGAGCTCACGCGTTGCTGCAGTGAGCTCACGCCTTGCTGCAGTGAGCTCACGCCTTGCTGCAGTGAGCTCACGCGTTGCTGCAGTGAGCTCACGCCTTGCTGCAGTGAGCTCACGCCTTGCTGCAGTGAGCTCACGCCTTGCTGCAGTGAGCTCACGCCTTGCTGCAGTGAGCTCACGCCTTGCTGCAGTGAGCTCACGCGTTGCTGCAGTGAGCTCACGCGTTGCTGCAGTGAGCTCACGCCTTGCTGCAGTGAGCTCACGCGTTGCTGCAGTGAGCTCACGCCTTGCTGCAGTGAGCTCACGCGTTGCTGCAGTGAGCTCACGCCTTGCTGCAGTGAGCTCACGCGTTGCTGCAGTGAGCTCACGCCTTGCTGCAGTGAGCTCACGCGTTGCTGCAGTGAGCTCACGCCTTGCTGCAGTGAGCTCACGCCTTGCTGCAGTGAGCTCACGCGTTGCTGCAGTGAGCTCACGCCTTGCTGCAGTGAGCTCACGCCTTGCTGCAGTGAGCTCACGCCTTGCTGCAGTGAGCTCACGCCTTGCTGCAGTGAGCTCACGCCTTGCTGCAGTGAGCTCACGCCTTGCTGCAGTGAGCTCACGCGTTGCTGCAGTGAGCTCACTTGTTGCTGCAGTGAGCTCACGCCTTGCTGCAGTGAGCTCACGCCTTGCTGCAGTGAGCTCACGCCTTGCTGCAGTGAGCTCACGCCTTGCTGCAGTGAGCTCACGCGTTGCTGCAGTGAGCTCACGCCTTGCTGCAGTGAGCTCACGCGTTGCTGCAGTGAGCTCACGCCTTGCTGCAGTGAGCTCACGCCTTGCTGCAGTGAGCTCACGCGTTGCTGCAGTGAGCTCACGCCTTGCTGCAGTGAGCTCACGCCTTGCTGCAGTGAGCTCATGCGTTGCTGCAGTGAGCTCACGCCTTGCTGCAGTGAGCTCACGCGTTGCTGCAGTGAGCTCACGCCTTGCTGCAGTGAGCTCACGCGTTGCTGCAGTGAGCTCACGCCTTGCTGCAGTGAGCTCACGCGTTGCTGCAGTGAGCTCACGCGTTGCTGCAGTGAGCTCATGCGTTGCTGCAGTGAGCTCACGCCTTGCTGCAGTGAGCTCACGCCTTGCTGCAGTGAGCTCACGCGTTGCTGCAGTGAGCTCACGCGTTGCTGCAGTGAGCTCACGCGTTGCTGCAGTGAGCTCACGCGTTGCTGCAGTGAGCTCACTTGTTGCTGCAGTGAGCTCACGCCTTGCTGCAGTGAGCTCACGCCTTGCTGCAGTGAGCTCACGCGTTGCTGCAGTGAGCTCACGCCTTGCTGCAGTGAGCTCACGCCTTGCTGCAGTGAGCTCACGCGTTGCTGCAGTGAGCTCACGCGTTGCTGCAGTGAGCTCACGCGTTGCTGCAGTGAGCTCACGCGTTGCTGCAGTGAGCTCACGCCTTGCTGCAGTGAGCTCACGCCTTGCTGCAGTGAGCTCACGCCTTGCTGCAGTGAGCTCACGCGTTGCTGCAGTGAGCTCACGCCTTGCTGCAGTGAGCTCACCGTGCTGCAGTGAGCTCACGCCTTGCTGCAGTGAGCTCACGCGTTGCTGCAGTGAGCTCACGCCTTGCTGCAGTGAGCTCACGCGTTGCTGCAGTGAGCTCACGCCTTGCTGCAGTGAGCTCACGCCTTGCTGCAGTGAGCTCACGCCTTGCTGCAGTGAGCTCACGCGTTGCTGCAGTGAGCTCACGCCTTGCTGCAGTGAGCTCACGCGTTGCTGCAGTGAGCTCACGCCTTGCTGCAGTGAGCTCACGCCTTGCTGCAGTGAGCTCACGCGTTGCTGCAGTGAGCTCACGCCTTGCTGCAGTGAGCTCACGCCTTGCTGCAGTGAGCTCACGCCTTGCTGCAGTGAGCTCACGCCTTGCTGCAGTGAGCTCACGCCTTGCTGCAGTGAGCTCACGCGTTGCTGCAGTGAGCTCACGCGTTGCTGCACTGCAGTGAGCTCACGCCTTGCTGCAGTGAGCTCACGCGTTGCTGCAGTGAGCTCACGCCTTGCTGCAGTGAGCTCACGCGTTGCTGCAGTGAGCTCACGCGTTGCTGCAGTGAGCTCACGCGTTGCTGCAGTGAGCTCACGCCTTGCTGCAGTGAGCTCACGCCTTGCTGCAGTGAGCTCACGCCTTGCTGCAGTGAGCTCACGCCTTGCTGCAGTGAGCTCACGCGTTGCTGCAGTGAGCTCACGCCTTGCTGCAGTGAGCTCACGCGTTGCTGCAGTGAGCTCACGCGTTGCTGCAGTGAGCTCACGCCTTGCTGCAGTGAGCTCACGCGTTGCTGCAGTGAGCTCACGCCTTGCTGCAGTGAGCTCACGCCTTGCTGCAGTGAGCTCACGCCTTGCTGCAGTGAGCTCACGCGTTGCTGCAGTGAGCTCACGCGTTGCTGCAGTGAGCTCACGCGTTGCTGCAGTGAGCTCACGCCTTGCTGCAGTGAGCTCACGCGTTGCTGCAGTGAGCTCACGCCTTGCTGCAGTGAGCTCACGCGTTGCTGCAGTGAGCTCACGCGTTGCTGCAGTGAGCTCACGCGTTGCTGCAGTGAGCTCACGCCTTGCTGCAGTGAGCTCACGCCTTGCTGCAGTGAGCTCACGCCTTGCTGCAGTGAGCTCACGCGTTGCTGCAGTGAGCTCACGCGTTGCTGCAGTGAGCTCACGCGTTGCTGCAGTGAGCTCACGCGTTGCTGCAGTGAGCTCACGCCTTGCTGCAGTGAGCTCACGCGTTGCTGCAGTGAGCTCACGCCTTGCTGCAGTGAGCTCACGCCTTGCTGCAGTGAGCTCACGCCTTGCTGCAGTGAGCTCACGCGTTGCTGCAGTGAGCTCACGCCTTGCTGCAGTGAGCTCACGCGTTGCTGCAGTGAGCTCACGCCTTGCTGCAGTGAGCTCACGCCTTGCTGCAGTGAGCTCACGCCTTGCTGCAGTGAGCTCACGCGTTGCTGCAGTGAGCTCACGCCTTGCTGCAGTGAGCTCACGCCTTGCTGCAGTGAGCTCACGCCTTGCTGCAGTGAGCTCACGCCTTGCTGCAGTGAGCTCACGCGTTGCTGCAGTGAGCTCACGCCTTGCTGCAGTGAGCTCACGCGTTGCTGCAGTGAGCTCACGCCTTGCTGCAGTGAGCTCACGCCTTGCTGCAGTGAGCTCACGCGTTGCTGCAGTGAGCTCACGCGTTGCTGCAGTGAGCTCACGCGTTGCTGCAGTGAGCTCACGCCTTGCTGCAGTGAGCTCACGCGTTGCTGCAGTGAGCTCACGCGTTGCTGCAGTGAGCTCACGCGTTGCTGCAGTGAGCTCACGCGTTGCTGCAGTGAGCTCACGCGTTGCTGCAGTGAGCTCACGCGTTGCTGCAGTGAGCTCACGCCTTGCTGCAGTGAGCTCACGCCTTGCTGCAGTGAGCTCACGCCTTGCTGCAGTGAGCTCACGCGTTGCTGCAGTGAGCTCACGCCTTGCTGCAGTGAGCTCACGCGTTGCTGCAGTGAGCTCACGCGTTGCTGCAGTGAGCTCACGCGTTGCTGCAGTGAGCTCACGCGTTGCTGCAGTGAGCTCACGCGTTGCTGCAGTGAGCTCACGCCTTGCTGCAGTGAGCTCACGCCTTGCTGCAGTGAGCTCACGCGTTGCTGCAGTGAGCTCACGCCTTGCTGCAGTGAGCTCACGCGTTGCTGCAGTGAGCTCACGCCTTGCTGCAGTGAGCTCACGCGTTGCTGCAGTGAGCTCACGCGTTGCTGCAGTGAGCTCACGCCTTGCTGCAGTGAGCTCACGCCTTGCTGCAGTGAGCTCACGCCTTGCTGCAGTGAGCTCACGCGTTGCTGCAGTGAGCTCACGCGTTGCTGCAGTGAGCTCACGCGTTGCTGCAGTGAGCTCACGCCTTGCTGCAGTGAGCTCACGCGTTGCTGCAGTGAGCTCACGCCTTGCTGCAGTGAGCTCACGCGTTGCTGCAGTGAGCTCACGCGTTGCTGCAGTGAGCTCACGCCTTGCTGCAGTGAGCTCACGCCTTGCTGCAGTGAGCTCACGCCTTGCTGCAGTGAGCTCACGCCTTGCTGCAGTGAGCTCACGCCTTGCTGCAGTGAGCTCACGCGTTGCTGCAGTGAGCTCACGCCTTGCTGCAGTGAGCTCACGCGTTGCTGCAGTGAGCTCACGCGTTGCTGCAGTGAGCTCACACGTTGCTGCAGTGAGCTCACGCGTTGCTGCAGTGAGCTCACGCGTTGCTGCAGTGAGCTCACGCCTTGCTGCAGTGAGCTCACGCCTTGCTGCAGTGAGCTCACGCGTTGCTGCAGTGAGCTCACGCCTTGCTGCAGTGAGCTCACGCCTTGCTGCAGTGAGCTCACGCCTTGCTGCAGTGAGCTCACGCGTTGCTGCAGTGAGCTCACGCCTTGCTGCAGTGAGCTCACGCCTTGCTGCAGTGAGCTCACGCGTTGCTGCAGTGAGCTCACGCGTTGCTGCAGTGAGCTCATGCGTTGCTGCAGTGAGCTCACGCGTTGCTGCAGTGAGCTCACGCCTTGCTGCAGTGAGCTCACGCCTTGCTGCAGTGAGCTCACGCCTTGCTGCAGTGAGCTCACGCCTTGCTGCAGTGAGCTCACGCGTTGCTGCAGTGAGCTCACGCCTTGCTGCAGTGAGCTCACGCGTTGCTGCAGTGAGCTCACGCCTTGCTGCAGTGAGCTCACGCGTTGCTGCAGTGAGCTCACGCGTTGCTGCAGTGAGCTCACGCCTTGCTGCAGTGAGCTCACGCCTTGCTGCAGTGAGCTCACGCCTTGCTGCAGTGAGCTCACGCCTTGCTGCAGTGAGCTCACGCGTTGCTGCAGTGAGCTCACGCCTTGATTGCAGTGCTGCAGTGAGCTCACGCGTTGCTGCAGTGAGCTCACGCCTTGCTGCAGTGAGCTCACGCGTTGCTGCAGTGAGCTCACGCCTTGCTGCAGTGAGCTCACGCCTTGCTGCAGTGAGCTCACGCCTTGCTGCAGTGAGCTCACGCGTTGCTGCAGTGAGCTCACGCCTTGCTGCAGTGAGCTCACGCCTTGCTGCAGTGAGCTCACGCGTTGCTGCAGTGAGCTCACGCGTTGCTGCAGTGAGCTCACGCCTTGCTGCAGTGAGCTCACGCCTTGCTGCAGTGAGCTCACGCTGCTGCCAGTGAGCTCACGCCTTGCTGCAGTGAGCTCACGCCTTGCTGCAGTGAGCTCACGCCTTGCTGCAGTGAGCTCACGCCTTGCTGCAGTGAGCTCACGCCTTGCTGCAGTGAGCTCACGCGTTGCTGCAGTGAGCTCACGCGTTGCTGCAGTGAGCTCACGCGTTGCTGCAGTGAGCTCACGCCTTGCTGCAGTGAGCTCACGCCTTGCTGCAGTGAGCTCACGCGTTGCTGCAGTGAGCTCACGCGTTGCTGCAGTGAGCTCACGCGTTGCTGCAGTGAGCTCACGCGTTGCTGCAGTGAGCTCACGCGTTGCTGCAGTGAGCTCACGCCTTGCTGCAGTGAGCTCACGCCTTGCTGCAGTGAGCTCACGCGTTGCTGCAGTGAGCTCACGCGTTGCTGCAGTGAGCTCACGCGTTGCTGCAGTGAGCTCACGCCTTGCTGCAGTGAGCTCACGCGTTGCTGCAGTGAGCTCACGCCTTGCTGCAGTGAGCTCACGCCTTGCTGCAGTGAGCTCACGCCTTGCTGCAGTGAGCTCACGCCTTGCTGCAGTGAGCTCACGCCTTGCTGCAGTGAGCTCACGCCTTGCTGCAGTGAGCTCACGCGTTGCTGCAGTGAGCTCACGCCTTGCTGCAGTGAGCTCACGCCTTGCTGCAGTGAGCTCACGCCTTGCTGCAGTGAGCTCACGCCTTGCTGCAGTGAGCTCACGCGTTGCTGCAGTGAGCTCACGCCTTGCTGCAGTGAGCTCACGCGTTGCTGCAGTGAGCTCACGCCTTGCTGCAGTGAGCTCACGCCTTGCTGCAGTGAGCTCACGCGTTGCTGCAGTGAGCTCACGCCTTGCTGCAGTGAGCTCACGCGTTGCTGCAGTGAGCTCACGCCTTGCTGCAGTGAGCTCACGCGTTGCTGCAGTGAGCTCACGCGTTGCTGCAGTGAGCTCACGCCTTGCTGCAGTGAGCTCACGCGTTGCTGCAGTGAGCTCACGCCTTGCTGCAGTGAGCTCACGCCTTGCTGCAGTGAGCTCACGCCTTGCTGCAGTGAGCTCACGCCTTGCTGCAGTGAGCTCACGCGTTGCTGCAGTGAGCTCACGCCTTGCTGCAGTGAGCTCACGCGTTGCTGCAGTGAGCTCACGCCTTGCTGCAGTGAGCTCACGCGTTGCTGCAGTGAGCTCACGCGTTGCTGCAGTGAGCTCACGCCTTGCTGCAGTGAGCTCACGCGTTGCTGCAGTGAGCTCACGCCTTGCTGCAGTGAGCTCACGCCTTGCTGCAGTGAGCTCACGCCTTGCTGCAGTGAGCTCACGCCTTGCTGCAGTGAGCTCACGCGTTGCTGCAGTGAGCTCACGCCTTGCTGCAGTGAGCTCACGCCTTGCTGCAGTGAGCTCACGCCTTGCTGCAGTGAGCTCACGCGTTGCTGCAGTGAGCTCACGCCTTGCTGCAGTGAGCTCACGCCTTGCTGCAGTGAGCTCACGCGTTGCTGCAGTGAGCTCACGCCTTGCTGCAGTGAGCTCACGCCTTGCTGCAGTGAGCTCACGCCTTGCTGCAGTGAGCTCACGCCTTGCTGCAGTGAGCTCACGCCTTGCTGCAGTGAGCTCACGCCTTGCTGCAGTGAGCTCACGCGTTGCTGCAGTGAGCTCACGCCTTGCTGCAGTGAGCTCACGCGTTGCTGCAGTGAGCTCACGCCTTGCTGCAGTGAGCTCACGCGTTGCTGCAGTGAGCTCACGCCTTGCTGCAGTGAGCTCACGCGTTGCTGCAGTGAGCTCACGCCTTGCTGCAGTGAGCTCACGCCTTGCTGCAGTGAGCTCACGCCTTGCTGCAGTGAGCTCACGCCTTGCTGCAGTGAGCTCACGCGTTGCTGCAGTGAGCTCACGCGTTGCTGCAGTGAGCTCACGCCTTGCTGCAGTGAGCTCACGCGTTGCTGCAGTGAGCTCACGCCTTGCTGCAGTGAGCTCACGCCTTGCTGCAGTGAGCTCACGCCTTGCTGCAGTGAGCTCACGCCTTGCTGCAGTGAGCTCACGCGTTGCTGCAGTGAGCTCACGCGTTGCTGCAGTGAGCTCACGCGTTGCTGCAGTGAGCTCACGCCTTGCTGCAGTGAGCTCACGCCTTGCTGCAGTGAGCTCACGCGTTGCTGCAGTGAGCTCACACGTTGCTGCAGTGAGCTCACGCGTTGCTGCAGTGAGCTCACGCCTTGCTGCAGTGAGCTCACGCGTTGCTGCAGTGAGCTCACGCCTTGCTGCAGTGAGCTCACGCCTTGCTGCAGTGAGCTCACGCCTTGCTGCAGTGAGCTCACGCCTTGCTGCAGTGAGCTCACGCGTTGCTGCAGTGAGCTCACGCGTTGCTGCAGTGAGCTCACGCCTTGCTGCAGTGAGCTCACGCGTTGCTGCAGTGAGCTCACGCCTTGCTGCAGTGAGCTCACGCCTTGCTGCAGTGAGCTCACGCCTTGCTGCAGTGAGCTCACGCGTTGCTGCAGTGAGCTCACGCCTTGCTGCAGTGAGCTCACGCCTTGCTGCAGTGAGCTCACGCCTTGCTGCAGTGAGCTCACGCCTTGCTGCAGTGAGCTCACGCGTTGCTGCAGTGAGCTCACGCCTTGCTGCAGTGAGCTCACGCGTTGCTGCAGTGAGCTCACGCCTTGCTGCAGTGAGCTCACGCCTTGCTGCAGTGAGCTCACGCCTTGCTGCAGTGAGCTCACGCCTTGCTGCAGTGAGCTCACGCCTTGCTGCAGTGAGCTCACGCCTTGCTGCAGTGAGCTCACGCGTTGCTGCAGTGAGCTCACGCCTTGCTGCAGTGAGCTCACGCCTTGCTGCAGTGAGCTCACGCCTTGCTGCAGTGAGCTCACGCCTTGCTGCAGTGAGCTCACGCGTTGCTGCAGTGAGCTCACGCGTTGCTGCAGTGAGCTCACGCGTTGCTGCAGTGAGCTCACGCCTTGCTGCAGTGAGCTCACGCCTTGCTGCAGTGAGCTCACGCGTTGCTGCAGTGAGCTCACGCCTTGCTGCAGTGAGCTCACGCGTTGCTGCAGTGAGCTCACGCCTTGCTGCAGTGAGCTCACGCCTTGCTGCAGTGAGCTCACGCGTTGCTGCAGTGAGCTCACGCCTTGCTGCAGTGAGCTCACGCCTTGCTGCAGTGAGCTCACGCCTTGCTGCAGTGAGCTCACGCCTTGCTGCAGTGAGCTCACGCGTTGCTGCAGTGAGCTCACGCCTTGCTGCAGTGAGCTCACGCCTTGCTGCAGTGAGCTCACGCCTTGCTGCAGTGAGCTCACGCCTTGCTGCAGTGAGCTCACGCCTTGCTGCAGTGAGCTCACGCGTTGCTGCAGTGAGCTCACGCCTTGCTGCAGTGAGCTCACGCCTTGCTGCAGTGAGCTCACGCGTTGCTGCAGTGAGCTCACGCCTTGCTGCAGTGAGCTCACGCGTTGCTGCAGTGAGCTCACGCCTTGCTGCAGTGAGCTCACGCCTTGCTGCAGTGAGCTCACGCGTTGCTGCAGTGAGCTCACGCCTTGCTGCAGTGAGCTCACGCCTTGCTGCAGTGAGCTCACGCCTTGCTGCAGTGAGCTCACGCCTTGCTGCAGTGAGCTCACGCGTTGCTGCAGTGAGCTCACGCCTTGCTGCAGTGAGCTCACGCCTTGCTGCAGTGAGCTCACGCCTTGCTGCAGTGAGCTCACGCCTTGCTGCAGTGAGCTCACGCCTTGCTGCAGTGAGCTCACGCGTTGCTGCAGTGAGCTCACGCCTTGCTGCAGTGAGCTCACGCCTTGCTGCAGTGAGCTCACGCCTTGCTGCAGTGAGCTCACGCCTTGCTGCAGTGAGCTCACGCCTTGCTGCAGTGAGCTCACGCCTTGCTGCAGTGAGCTCACGCCTTGCTGCAGTGAGCTCACGCCTTGCTGCAGTGAGCTCACGCGTTGCTGCAGTGAGCTCACGCCTTGCTGCAGTGAGCTCACGCCTTGCTGCAGTGAGCTCACGCCTTGCTGCAGTGAGCTCACGCCTTGCTGCAGTGAGCTCACGCGTTGCTGCAGTGAGCTCACGCCTTGCTGCAGTGAGCTCACGCGTTGCTGCAGTGAGCTCACGCCTTGCTGCAGTGAGCTCACGCCTTGCTGCAGTGAGCTCACGCCTTGCTGCAGTGAGCTCACGCCTTGCTGCAGTGAGCTCACGCCTTGCTGCAGTGAGCTCACGCGTTGCTGCAGTGAGCTCACGCCTTGCTGCAGTGAGCTCACGCGTTGCTGCAGTGAGCTCACGCCTTGCTGCAGTGAGCTCACGCGTTGCTGCAGTGAGCTCACGCCTTGCTGCAGTGAGCTCACGCGTTGCTGCAGTGAGCTCACGCCTTGCTGCAGTGAGCTCACGCCTTGCTGCAGTGAGCTCACGCGTTGCTGCAGTGAGCTCACGCCTTGCTGCAGTGAGCTCACGCCTTGCTGCAGTGAGCTCACGCCTTGCTGCAGTGAGCTCACGCCTTGCTGCAGTGAGCTCACGCGTTGCTGCAGTGAGCTCACGCCTTGCTGCAGTGAGCTCACGCGTTGCTGCAGTGAGCTCACGCCTTGCTGCAGTGAGCTCACGCCTTGCTGCAGTGAGCTCACGCCTTGCTGCAGTGAGCTCACGCGTTGCTGCAGTGAGCTCACGCCTTGCTGCAGTGAGCTCACGCCTTGCTGCAGTGAGCTCACGCGTTGCTGCAGTGCTGCAGTGAGCTCACGCCTTGCTGCAGTGAGCTCACGCGTTGCTGCAGTGAGCTCACGCCTTGCTGCAGTGAGCTCACGCGTTGCTGCAGTGAGCTCACGCGTTGCTGCAGTGAGCTCACGCCTTGCTGCAGTGAGCTCACGCCTTGCTGCAGTGAGCTCACGCCTTGCTGCAGTGAGCTCACGCGTTGCTGCAGTGAGCTCACGCGTTGCTGCAGTGAGCTCACGCCTTGCTGCAGTGAGCTCACGCCTTGCTGCAGTGAGCTCACGCCTTGCTGCAGTGAGCTCACGCCTTGCTGCAGTGAGCTCACGCCTTGCTGCAGTGAGCTCACGCGTTGCTGCAGTGAGCTCACGCCTTGCTGCAGTGAGCTCACGCCTTGCTGCAGTGAGCTCACGCCTTGCTGCAGTGAGCTCACGCCTTGCTGCAGTGAGCTCACGCGTTGCTGCAGTGAGCTCACGCCTTGCTGCAGTGAGCTCACGCGTTGCTGCAGTGAGCTCACGCCTTGCTGCAGTGAGCTCACGCCTTGCTGCAGTGAGCTCACGCGTTGCTGCAGTGAGCTCACGCCTTGCTGCAGTGAGCTCACGCCTTGCTGCAGTGAGCTCACGCCTTGCTGCAGTGAGCTCACGCGTTGCTGCAGTGAGCTCACGCGTTGCTGCAGTGAGCTCACGCCTTGCTGCAGTGAGCTCACGCGTTGCTGCAGTGAGCTCACGCCTTGCTGCAGTGAGCTCACGCGTTGCTGCAGTGAGCTCACGCCTTGCTGCAGTGAGCTCACGCCTTGCTGCAGTGAGCTCACGCGTTGCTGCAGTGAGCTCACGCCTTGCTGCAGTGAGCTCACGCCTTGCTGCAGTGAGCTCACGCCTTGCTGCAGTGAGCTCACGCCTTGCTGCAGTGAGCTCACGCGTTGCTGCAGTGAGCTCACGCCTTGCTGCAGTGAGCTCACGCCTTGCTGCAGTGAGCTCACGCCTTGCTGCAGTGAGCTCACGCCTTGCTGCAGTGAGCTCACGCCTTGCTGCAGTGAGCTCACGCCTTGCTGCAGTGAGCTCACGCGTTGCTGCAGTGAGCTCACGCCTTGCTGCAGTGAGCTCACGCGTTGCTGCAGTGAGCTCACGCCTTGCTGCAGTGAGCTCACGCCTTGCTGCAGTGAGCTCACACCTTGCTGCAGTGAGCTCACGCGTTGCTGCAGTGAGCTCACGCCTTGCTGCAGTGAGCTCACGCCTTGCTGCAGTGAGCTCACGCGTTGCTGCAGTGAGCTCACGCCTTGCTGCAGTGAGCTCACGCGTTGCTGCAGTGAGCTCACGCCTTGCTGCAGTGAGCTCACGCGTTGCTGCAGTGAGCTCACGCCTTGCTGCAGTGAGCTCACGCCTTGCTGCAGTGAGCTCACGCGTTGCTGCAGTGAGCTCACGCCTTGCTGCAGTGAGCTCACGCCTTGCTGCAGTGAGCTCACGCCTTGCTGCAGTGAGCTCACGCCTTGCTGCAGTGAGCTCACGCCTTGCTGCAGTGAGCTCACGCCTTGCTGCAGTGAGCTCACGCCTTGCTGCAGTGAGCTCACGCCTTGCTGCAGTGAGCTCACGCCTTGCTGCAGTGAGCTCACGCCTTGCTGCAGTGAGCTCACGCGTTGCTGCAGTGAGCTCACGCCTTGCTGCAGTGAGCTCACGCGTTGCTGCAGTGAGCTCACGCCTTGCTGCAGTGAGCTCACGCCTTGCTGCAGTGAGCTCACGCGTTGCTGCAGTGAGCTCACGCGTTGCTGCAGTGAGCTCACGCCTTGCTGCAGTGAGCTCACGCGTTGCTGCAGTGAGCTCACGCGTTGCTGCAGTGAGCTCACGCGTTGCTGCAGTGAGCTCACGCCTTGCTGCAGTGAGCTCACGCGTTGCTGCAGTGAGCTCACGCCTTGCTGCAGTGAGCTCACGCCTTGCTGCAGTGAGCTCACGCCTTGCTGCAGTGAGCTCACGCCTTGCTGCAGTGAGCTCACGCGTTGCTGCAGTGAGCTCACGCGTTGCTGCAGTGAGCTCACGCCTTGCTGCAGTGAGCTCACGCCTTGCTGCAGTGAGCTCACGCCTTGCTGCAGTGAGCTCACGCCTTGCTGCAGTGAGCTCACGCCTTGCTGCAGTGAGCTCACGCCTTGCTGCAGTGAGCTCACGCTTGCTGCTGCAGTGAGCTCACGCGTTGCTGCAGTGAGCTCACGCCTTGCTGCAGTGAGCTCACGCCTTGCTGCAGTGAGCTCACGCCTTGCTGCAGTGAGCTCACGCGTTGCTGCAGTGAGCTCACACGTTGCTGCAGTGAGCTCACGCGTTGCTGCAGTGAGCTCACGCCTTGCTGCAGTGAGCTCACGCGTTGCTGCAGTGAGCTCACGTGTTGCTGCAGTGAGCTCACGCCTTGCTGCAGTGAGCTCACGCCTTGCTGCAGTGAGCTCACGCCTTGCTGCAGTGAGCTCACGCCTTGCTGCAGTGAGCTCACGCCTTGCTGCAGTGAGCTCACGCCTTGCTGCAGTGAGCTCACGCGTTGCTGCAGTGAGCTCACGCCTTGCTGCAGTGAGCTCACGCGTTGCTGCAGTGAGCTCACGCCTTGCTGCAGTGAGCTCACGCCTTGCTGCAGTGAGCTCACGCCTTGCTGCAGTGAGCTCACGCCTTGCTGCAGTGAGCTCACGCGTTGCTGCAGTGAGCTCACGCCTTGCTGCAGTGAGCTCACGCCTTGCTGCAGTGAGCTCACGCCTTGCTGCAGTGAGCTCACGCGTTGCTGCAGTGAGCTCACGCCTTGCTGCAGTGAGCTCACGCCTTGCTGCAGTGAGCTCACGCCTTGCTGCAGTGAGCTCACGCCTTGCTGCAGTGAGCTCACGCCTTGCTGCAGTGAGCTCACGCGTTGCTGCAGTGAGCTCACGCGTTGCTGCAGTGAGCTCACGCCTTGCTGCAGTGAGCTCACGCCTTGCTGCAGTGAGCTCACGCCTTGCTGCAGTGAGCTCACGCGTTGCTGCAGTGAGCTCACGCCTTGCTGCAGTGAGCTCACGCCTTGCTGCAGTGAGCTCACGCCTTGCTGCAGTGAGCTCACGCCTTGCTGCAGTGAGCTCACGCCTTGCTGCAGTGAGCTCACGCCTTGCTGCAGTGAGCTCACGCGTTGCTGCAGTGAGCTCACGCCTTGCTGCAGTGAGCTCACGCCTTGCTGCAGTGAGCTCACGCCTTGCTGCAGTGAGCTCACGCCTTGCTGCAGTGAGCTCACGCCTTGCTGCAGTGAGCTCACGCGTTGCTGCAGTGAGCTCACGCGTTGCTGCAGTGAGCTCACGCCTTGCTGCAGTGAGCTCACGCCTTGCTGCAGTGAGCTCACGCCTTGCTGCAGTGAGCTCACGCGTTGCTGCAGTGAGCTCACGCGTTGCTGCAGTGAGCTCACGCCTTGCTGCAGTGAGCTCACGCGTTGCTGCAGTGAGCTCACGCCTTGCTGCAGTGAGCTCACGCCTTGCTGCAGTGAGCTCACGCCTTGCTGCAGTGAGCTCACGCCTTGCTGCAGTGAGCTCACGCGTTGCTGCAGTGAGCTCACGCCTTGCTGCAGTGAGCTCACGCCTTGCTGCAGTGAGCTCACGCGTTGCTGCAGTGAGCTCACGCCTTGCTGCAGTGAGCTCACGCCTTGCTGCAGTGAGCTCACGCCTTGCTGCAGTGAGCTCACGCCTTGCTGCAGTGAGCTCACGCCTTGCTGCAGTGAGCTCACGCCTTGCTGCAGTGAGCTCACGCCTTGCTGCAGTGAGCTCACGCCTTGCTGCAGTGAGCTCACGCCTTGCTGCAGTGAGCTCACGCCTTGCTGCAGTGAGCTCACGCCTTGCTGCAGTGAGCTCACGCCTTGCTGCAGTGAGCTCACGCGTTGCTGCAGTGAGCTCACGCGTTGCTGCAGTGAGCTCACGCCTTGCTGCAGTGAGCTCACGCGTTGCTGCAGTGAGCTCACGCCTTGCTGCAGTGAGCTCACGCCTTGCTGCAGTGAGCTCACGCCTTGCTGCAGTGAGCTCACGCCTTGCTGCAGTGAGCTCACGCGTTGCTGCAGTGAGCTCACGCCTTGCTGCAGTGAGCTCACGCCTTGCTGCAGTGAGCTCACGCCTTGCTGCAGTGAGCTCACGCCTTGCTGCAGTGAGCTCACGCCTTGCTGCAGTGAGCTCACGCCTTGCTGCAGTGAGCTCACGCCTTGCTGCAGTGAGCTCACGCCTTGCTGCAGTGAGCTCACGCCTTGCTGCAGTGAGCTCACGCCTTGCTGCAGTGAGCTCACGCCTTGCTGCAGTGAGCTCACGCCTTGCTGCAGTGAGCTCACGCGTTGCTGCAGTGAGCTCACGCCTTGCTGCAGTGAGCTCACGCGTTGCTGCAGTGAGCTCACGCGTTGCTGCAGTGAGCTCACGCCTTGCTGCAGTGAGCTCACGCGTTGCTGCAGTGAGCTCACGCGTTGCTGCAGTGAGCTCACGCGTTGCTGCAGTGAGCTCACGCCTTGCTGCAGTGAGCTCACGCCTTGCTGCAGTGAGCTCACGCCTTGCTGCAGTGAGCTCACGCCTTGCTGCAGTGAGCTCACGCCTTGCTGCAGTGAGCTCACGCCTTGCTGCAGTGAGCTCACGCGTTGCTGCAGTGAGCTCACGCCTTGCTGCAGTGAGCTCACGCCTTGCTGCAGTGAGCTCACGCCTTGCTGCAGTGAGCTCACGCCTTGCTGCAGTGAGCTCACGCCTTGCTGCAGTGAGCTCACGCCTTGCTGCAGTGAGCTCACGCCTTGCTGCAGTGAGCTCACGCGTTGCTGCAGTGAGCTCACGCCTTGCTGCAGTGAGCTCACGCCTTGCTGCAGTGAGCTCACGCCTTGCTGCAGTGAGCTCACGCCTTGCTGCAGTGAGCTCACGCCTTGCTGCAGTGAGCTCACGCCTTGCTGCAGTGAGCTCACGCGTTGCTGCAGTGAGCTCACGCCTTGCTGCAGTGAGCTCACGCCTTGCTGCAGTGAGCTCACGCCTTGCTGCAGTGAGCTCACGCGTTGCTGCAGTGAGCTCACGCCTTGCTGCAGTGAGCTCACGCCTTGCTGCAGTGAGCTCACGCGTTGCTGCAGTGAGCTCACGCCTTGCTGCAGTGAGCTCACGCCTTGCTGCAGTGAGCTCACGCCTTGCTGCAGTGAGCTCACGCGTTGCTGCAGTGAGCTCACGCGTTGCTGCAGTGAGCTCACGCGTTGCTGCAGTGAGCTCACGCCTTGCTGCAGTGAGCTCACGCGTTGCTGCAGTGAGCTCACGCCTTGCTGCAGTGAGCTCACGCCTTGCTGCAGTGAGCTCACGCCTTGCTGCAGTGAGCTCACGCCTTGCTGCAGTGAGCTCACGCCTTGCTGCAGTGAGCTCACGCCTTGCTGCAGTGAGCTCACGCGTTGCTGCAGTGAGCTCACGCCTTGCTGCAGTGAGCTCACGCCTTGCTGCAGTGAGCTCACGCCTTGCTGCAGTGAGCTCACGCCTTGCTGCAGTGAGCTCACGCGTTGCTGCAGTGAGCTCACGCCTTGCTGCAGTGAGCTCACGCCTTGCTGCAGTGAGCTCACGCCTTGCTGCAGTGAGCTCACGCCTTGCTGCAGTGAGCTCACGCCTTGCTGCAGTGAGCTCACGCGTTGCTGCAGTGAGCTCACGCCTTGCTGCAGTGAGCTCACGCCTTGCTGCAGTGAGCTCACGCGTTGCTGCAGTGAGCTCACGCCTTGCTGCAGTGAGCTCACGCGTTGCTGCAGTGAGCTCACGCCTTGCTGCAGTGAGCTCACGCCTTGCTGCAGTGAGCTCACGCGTTGCTGCAGTGAGCTCACGCCTTGCTGCAGTGAGCTCACGCCTTGCTGCAGTGAGCTCACGCCTTGCTGCAGTGAGCTCACGCGTTGCTGCAGTGAGCTCACGCGTTGCTGCAGTGAGCTCACGCCTTGCTGCAGTGAGCTCACGCCTTGCTGCAGTGAGCTCACGCCTTGCTGCAGTGAGCTCACGCCTTGCTGCAGTGAGCTCACGCCTTGCTGCAGTGAGCTCACGCGTTGCTGCAGTGAGCTCACGCCTTGCTGCAGTGAGCTCACGCCTTGCTGCAGTGAGCTCACGCCTTGCTGCAGTGAGCTCACGCCTTGCTGCAGTGAGCTCACGCGTTGCTGCAGTGAGCTCACGCCTTGCTGCAGTGAGCTCACGCCTTGCTGCAGTGAGCTCACGCGTTGCTGCAGTGAGCTCACGCCTTGCTGCAGTGAGCTCACGCGTTGCTGCAGTGAGCTCACTTGTTGCTGCAGTGAGCTCACGCGTTGCTGCAGTGAGCTCACGCGTTGCTGCAGTGAGCTCACGCGTTGCTGCAGTGAGCTCACGCCTTGCTGCAGTGAGCTCACGCCTTGCTGCAGTGAGCTCACGCCTTGCTGCAGTGAGCTCACGCGTTGCTGCAGTGAGCTCACGCCTTGCTGCAGTGAGCTCACGCCTTGCTGCAGTGAGCTCACGCCTTGCTGCAGTGAGCTCACGCCTTGCTGCAGTGAGCTCACGCCTTGCTGCAGTGAGCTCACGCGTTGCTGCAGTGAGCTCACGCGTTGCTGCAGTGAGCTCACGCCTTGCTGCAGTGAGCTCACGCCTTGCTGCAGTGAGCTCACGCGTTGCTGCAGTGAGCTCACGCGTTGCTGCAGTGAGCTCACGCGTTGCTGCAGTGAGCTCACGCCTTGCTGCAGTGAGCTCACGCCTTGCTGCAGTGAGCTCACGCCTTGCTGCAGTGAGCTCACGCCTTGCTGCAGTGAGCTCACGCCTTGCTGCAGTGAGCTCACGCCTTGCTGCAGTGAGCTCACGCGTTGCTGCAGTGAGCTCACGCCTTGCTGCAGTGAGCTCACGCCTTGCTGCAGTGAGCTCACGCGTTGCTGCAGTGAGCTCACGCGTTGCTGCAGTGAGCTCACGCCTTGCTGCAGTGAGCTCACGCCTTGCTGCAGTGAGCTCACGCGTTGCTGCAGTGAGCTCACGCGTTGCTGCAGTGAGCTCACGCCTTGCTGCAGTGAGCTCACGCGTTGCTGCAGTGAGCTCACGCCTTGCTGCAGTGAGCTCACGCCTTGCTGCAGTGAGCTCACGCGTTGCTGCAGTGAGCTCACGCGTTGCTGCAGTGAGCTCACGCCTTGCTGCAGTGAGCTCACGCCTTGCTGCAGTGAGCTCACGCCTTGCTGCAGTGAGCTCACGCGTTGCTGCAGTGAGCTCACGCCTTGCTGCAGTGAGCTCACGCCTTGCTGCAGTGAGCTCACGCCTTGCTGCAGTGAGCTCACGCCTTGCTGCAGTGAGCTCACGCCTTGCTGCAGTGAGCTCACGCGTTGCTGCAGTGAGCTCACGCCTTGCTGCAGTGAGCTCACGCGTTGCTGCAGTGAGCTCACGCCTTGCTGCAGTGAGCTCACGCCTTGCTGCAGTGAGCTCACGCGTTGCTGCAGTGAGCTCACGCCTTGCTGCAGTGAGCTCACGCGTTGCTGCAGTGAGCTCACGCCTTGCTGCAGTGAGCTCACGCCTTGCTGCAGTGAGCTCACGCCTTGCTGCAGTGAGCTCACGCCTTGCTGCAGTGAGCTCACGCGTTGCTGCAGTGAGCTCACGCCTTGCTGCAGTGAGCTCACGCCTTGCTGCAGTGAGCTCACGCCTTGCTGCAGTGAGCTCACGCCTTGCTGCAGTGAGCTCACGCGTTGCTGCAGTGAGCTCACGCCTTGCTGCAGTGAGCTCACGCGTTGCTGCAGTGAGCTCACGCGTTGCTGCAGTGAGCTCACGCGTTGCTGCAGTGAGCTCACGCGTTGCTGCAGTGAGCTCACGCGTTGCTGCAGTGAGCTCACGCGTTGCTGCAGTGAGCTCACGCCTTGCTGCAGTGAGCTCACGCCTTGCTGCAGTGAGCTCACGCCTTGCTGCAGTGAGCTCACGCGTTGCTGCAGTGAGCTCACGCCTTGCTGCAGTGAGCTCACGCGTTGCTGCAGTGAGCTCACGCCTTGCTGCAGTGAGCTCACGCCTTGCTGCAGTGAGCTCACGCGTTGCTGCAGTGAGCTCACGCCTTGCTGCAGTGAGCTCACGCGTTGCTGCAGTGAGCTCACGCGTTGCTGCAGTGAGCTCACGCCTTGCTGCAGTGAGCTCACGCGTTGCTGCAGTGAGCTCACGCCTTGCTGCAGTGAGCTCACGCGTTGCTGCAGTGAGCTCACGCCTTGCTGCAGTGAGCTCACGCCTTGCTGCAGTGAGCTCACGCCTTGCTGCAGTGAGCTCACGCCTTGCTGCAGTGAGCTCACGCCTTGCTGCAGTGAGCTCACGCCTTGCTGCAGTGAGCTCACGCGTTGCTGCAGTGAGCTCACGCCTTGCTGCAGTGAGCTCACGCCTTGCTGCAGTGAGCTCACGCCTTGCTGCAGTGAGCTCACGCCTTGCTGCAGTGAGCTCACGCGTTGCTGCAGTGAGCTCACGCGTTGCTGCAGTGAGCTCACGCCTTGCTGCAGTGAGCTCACGCGTTGCTGCAGTGAGCTCACGCCTTGCTGCAGTGAGCTCACGCGTTGCTGCAGTGAGCTCACGCCTTGCTGCAGTGAGCTCACGCCTTGCTGCAGTGAGCTCATGCCTTGCTGCAGTGAGCTCACGCCTTGCTGCAGTGAGCTCACGCCTTGCTGCAGTGAGCTCACGCGTTGCTGCAGTGAGCTCACGCCTTGCTGCAGTGAGCTCACGCGTTGCTGCAGTGAGCTCACGCCTTGCTGCAGTGAGCTCACGCCTTGCTGCAGTGAGCTCACGCCTTGCTGCAGTGAGCTCACGCCTTGCTGCAGTGAGCTCACGCCTTGCTGCAGTGAGCTCACGCCTTGCTGCAGTGAGCTCACGCCTTGCTGCAGTGAGCTCACGCCTTGCTGCAGTGAGCTCACGCCTTGCTGCAGTGAGCTCACGCGTTGCTGCAGTGAGCTCACGCCTTGCTGCAGTGAGCTCACGCCTTGCTGCAGTGAGCTCACGCCTTGCTGCAGTGAGCTCACGCCTTGCTGCAGTGAGCTCACGCGTTGCTGCAGTGAGCTCACGCCTTGCTGCAGTGAGCTCACGCGTTGCTGCAGTGAGCTCACGCCTTGCTGCAGTGAGCTCACGCCTTGCTGCAGTGAGCTCACGCGTTGCTGCAGTGAGCTCACGCCTTGCTGCAGTGAGCTCACGCCTTGCTGCAGTGAGCTCACGCCTTGCTGCAGTGAGCTCACGCCTTGCTGCAGTGAGCTCACGCCTTGCTGCAGTGAGCTCACGCCTTGCTGCAGTGAGCTCACGCCTTGCTGCAGTGAGCTCACGCGTTGCTGCAGTGAGCTCACGCCTTGCTGCAGTGAGCTCACGCCTTGCTGCAGTGAGCTCACGCCTTGCTGCAGTGAGCTCACGCCTTGCTGCAGTGAGCTCACGCCTTGCTGCAGTGAGCTCACGCGTTGCTGCAGTGAGCTCACGCGTTGCTGCAGTGAGCTCACGCCTTGCTGCAGTGAGCTCACGCCTTGCTGCAGTGAGCTCACGCCTTGCTGCAGTGAGCTCACGCCTTGCTGCAGTGAGCTCACGCGTTGCTGCAGTGAGCTCACGCCTTGCTGCAGTGAGCTCACGCCTTGCTGCAGTGAGCTCACGCGTTGCTGCAGTGAGCTCACGCGTTGCTGCAGTGAGCTCACGCCTTGCTGCAGTGAGCTCACGCCTTGCTGCAGTGAGCTCACGCCTTGCTGCAGTGAGCTCACGCGTTGCTGCAGTGAGCTCACGCCTTGCTGCAGTGAGCTCACGCCTTGCTGCAGTGAGCTCACGCCTTGCTGCAGTGAGCTCACGCCTTGCTGCAGTGAGCTCACGCCTTGCTGCAGTGAGCTCACGCCTTGCTGCAGTGAGCTCACGCCTTGCTGCAGTGAGCTCACGCCTTGCTGCAGTGAGCTCACGCCTTGCTGCAGTGAGCTCACGCCTTGCTGCAGTGAGCTCACGCCTTGCTGCAGTGAGCTCACGCCTTGCTGCAGTGAGCTCACGCCTTGCTGCAGTGAGCTCACGCGTTGCTGCAGTGAGCTCACGCGTTGCTGCAGTGAGCTCACGCGTTGCTGCAGTGAGCTCACGCCTTGCTGCAGTGAGCTCACGCCTTGCTGCAGTGAGCTCACGCCTTGCTGCAGTGAGCTCACTTGTTGCTGCAGTGAGCTCACGCCTTGCTGCAGTGAGCTCACGCCTTGCTGCAGTGAGCTCACGCCTTGCTGCAGTGAGCTCACGCCTTGCTGCAGTGAGCTCACGCCTTGCTGCAGTGAGCTCACGCCTTGCTGCAGTGAGCTCACGCCTTGCTGCAGTGAGCTCACGCCTTGCTGCAGTGAGCTCACGCCTTGCTGCAGTGAGCTCACGCCTTGCTGCAGTGAGCTCACGCCTTGCTGCAGTGAGCTCACGCGTTGCTGCAGTGAGCTCACGCCTTGCTGCAGTGAGCTCACGCGTTGCTGCAGTGAGCTCACGCCTTGCTGCAGTGAGCTCACGCCTTGCTGCAGTGAGCTCACGCCTTGCTGCAGTGAGCTCACGCGTTGCTGCAGTGAGCTCACGCGTTGCTGCAGTGAGCTCACGCCTTGCTGCAGTGAGCTCACGCGTTGCTGCAGTGAGCTCACGCCTTGCTGCAGTGAGCTCACGCCTTGCTGCAGTGAGCTCACGCGTTGCTGCAGTGAGCTCACACCTTGCTGCAGTGAGCTCACGCGTTGCTGCAGTGAGCTCACGCGTTGCTGCAGTGAGCTCACGCCTTGCTGCAGTGAGCTCACGCCTTGCTGCAGTGAGCTCACGCGTTGCTGCAGTGAGCTCACGCCTTGCTGCAGTGAGCTCACGCCTTGCTGCAGTGAGCTCACGCCTTGCTGCAGTGAGCTCACGCCTTGCTGCAGTGAGCTCACGCCTTGCTGCAGTGAGCTCACGCCTTGCTGCAGTGAGCTCACGCCTTGCTGCAGTGAGCTCACGCCTTGCTGCAGTGAGCTCACGCGTTGCTGCAGTGAGCTCACGCCTTGCTGCAGTGAGCTCACGCCTTGCTGCAGTGAGCTCACGCCTTGCTGCAGTGAGCTCACGCGTTGCTGCAGTGAGCTCACGCGTTGCTGCAGTGAGCTCACGCCTTGCTGCAGTGAGCTCACGCGTTGCTGCAGTGAGCTCACGCCTTGCTGCAGTGAGCTCACGCGTTGCTGCAGTGAGCTCACGCCTTGCTGCAGTGAGCTCACGCGTTGCTGCAGTGAGCTCACGCCTTGCTGCAGTGAGCTCACGCCTTGCTGCAGTGAGCTCACGCGTTGCTGCAGTGAGCTCACGCCTTGCTGCAGTGAGCTCACGCCTTGCTGCAGTGAGCTCACGCCTTGCTGCAGTGAGCTCACGCCTTGCTGCAGTGAGCTCACGCGTTGCTGCAGTGAGCTCACGCGTTGCTGCAGTGAGCTCACGCCTTGCTGCAGTGAGCTCACGCCTTGCTGCAGTGAGCTCACGCCTTGCTGCAGTGAGCTCACGCCTTGCTGCAGTGAGCTCACGCGTTGCTGCAGTGAGCTCACGCCTTGCTGCAGTGAGCTCACGCGTTGCTGCAGTGAGCTCACGCCTTGCTGCAGTGAGCTCACGCCTTGCTGCAGTGAGCTCACGCGTTGCTGCAGTGAGCTCACGCCTTGCTGCAGTGAGCTCACGCGTTGCTGCAGTGAGCTCACGCCTTGCTGCAGTGAGCTCACGCCTTGCTGCAGTGAGCTCACGCCTTGCTGCAGTGAGCTCACGCCTTGCTGCAGTGAGCTCACGCGTTGCTGCAGTGAGCTCACGCCTTGCTGCAGTGAGCTCACGCGTTGCTGCAGTGAGCTCACGCGTTGCTGCAGTGAGCTCACGCCTTGCTGCAGTGAGCTCACGCGTTGCTGCAGTGAGCTCACGCCTTGCTGCAGTGAGCTCACGCCTTGCTGCAGTGAGCTCACGCGTTGCTGCAGTGAGCTCACGCCTTGCTGCAGTGAGCTCACGCGTTGCTGCAGTGAGCTCACGCGTTGCTGCAGTGAGCTCACGCCTTGCTGCAGTGAGCTCACGCGTTGCTGCAGTGAGCTCACGCCTTGCTGCAGTGAGCTCACGCGTTGCTGCAGTGAGCTCACGCCTTGCTGCAGTGAGCTCACGCGTTGCTGCAGTGAGCTCACGCCTTGCTGCAGTGAGCTCACGCGTTGCTGCAGTGAGCTCACGCCTTGCTGCAGTGAGCTCACGCCTTGCTGCAGTGAGCTCACGCGTTGCTGCAGTGAGCTCACGCCTTGCTGCAGTGAGCTCACGCCTTGCTGCAGTGAGCTCACGCCTTGCTGCAGTGAGCTCACGCCTTGCTGCAGTGAGCTCACGCGTTGCTGCAGTGAGCTCACGCCTTGCTGCAGTGAGCTCACGCGTTGCTGCAGTGAGCTCACGCGTTGCTGCAGTGAGCTCACGCCTTGCTGCAGTGAGCTCACGCGTTGCTGCAGTGAGCTCACGCCTTGCTGCAGTGAGCTCACGCGTTGCTGCAGTGAGCTCACGCCTTGCTGCAGTGAGCTCACGCGTTGCTGCAGTGAGCTCACGCCTTGCTGCAGTGAGCTCACGCCTTGCTGCAGTGAGCTCACGCGTTGCTGCAGTGAGCTCACGCCTTGCTGCAGTGAGCTCACGCCTTGCTGCAGTGAGCTCACGCCTTGCTGCAGTGAGCTCACGCCTTGCTGCAGTGAGCTCACGCGTTGCTGCAGTGAGCTCACGCCTTGCTGCAGTGAGCTCACGCCTTGCTGCAGTGAGCTCACGCCTTGCTGCAGTGAGCTCACGCCTTGCTGCAGTGAGCTCACGCCTTGCTGCAGTGAGCTCACGCCTTGCTGCAGTGAGCTCACGCGTTGCTGCAGTGAGCTCACGCCTTGCTGCAGTGAGCTCACGCGTTGCTGCAGTGAGCTCACGCCTTGCTGCAGTGAGCTCACGCGTTGCTGCAGTGAGCTCACGCCTTGCTGCAGTGAGCTCACGCCTTGCTGCAGTGAGCTCACGCCTTGCTGCAGTGAGCTCACGCCTTGCTGCAGTGAGCTCACGCCTTGCTGCAGTGAGCTCACGCCTTGCTGCAGTGAGCTCACGCGTTGCTGCAGTGAGCTCACGCGTTGCTGCAGTGAGCTCACGCGTTGCTGCAGTGAGCTCACGCCTTGCTGCAGTGAGCTCACGCGTTGCTGCAGTGAGCTCACGCCTTGCTGCAGTGAGCTCACGCGTTGCTGCAGTGAGCTCACGCCTTGCTGCAGTGAGCTCACGCGTTGCTGCAGTGAGCTCACGCCTTGCTGCAGTGAGCTCACGCCTTGCTGCAGTGAGCTCACGCGTTGCTGCAGTGAGCTCACGCCTTGCTGCAGTGAGCTCACGCCTTGCTGCAGTGAGCTCACGCCTTGCTGCAGTGAGCTCACGCCTTGCTGCAGTGAGCTCACGCCTTGCTGCAGTGAGCTCACGCCTTGCTGCAGTGAGCTCACGCCTTGCTGCAGTGAGCTCACGCCTTGCTGCAGTGAGCTCACGCGTTGCTGCAGTGAGCTCACGCCTTGCTGCAGTGAGCTCACGCGTTGCTGCAGTGAGCTCACGCCTTGCTGCAGTGAGCTCACGCGTTGCTGCAGTGAGCTCACGCCTTGCTGCAGTGAGCTCACGCGTTGCTGCAGTGAGCTCACGCGTTGCTGCAGTGAGCTCACGCGTTGCTGCAGTGAGCTCACGCGTTGCTGCAGTGAGCTCACGCGTTGCTGCAGTGAGCTCACGCCTTGCTGCAGTGAGCTCACGCCTTGCTGCAGTGAGCTCACGCCTTGCTGCAGTGAGCTCACGCGTTGCTGCAGTGAGCTCACGCCTTGCTGCAGTGAGCTCACGCGTTGCTGCAGTGAGCTCACGCCTTGCTGCAGTGAGCTCACGCGTTGCTGCAGTGAGCTCACGCCTTGCTGCAGTGAGCTCACGCGTTGCTGCAGTGAGCTCACGCCTTGCTGCAGTGAGCTCACGCCTTGCTGCAGTGAGCTCACGCCTTGCTGCAGTGAGCTCACGCCTTGCTGCAGTGAGCTCACGCGTTGCTGCAGTGAGCTCACGCGTTGCTGCAGTGAGCTCACGCGTTGCTGCAGTGAGCTCACGCCTTGCTGCAGTGAGCTCACGCGTTGCTGCAGTGAGCTCACGCCTTGCTGCAGTGAGCTCACGCCTTGCTGCAGTGAGCTCACGCGTTGCTGCAGTGAGCTCACGCCTTGCTGCAGTGAGCTCACGCCTTGCTGCAGTGAGCTCACGCGTTGCTGCAGTGAGCTCACGCGTTGCTGCAGTGAGCTCACGCCTTGCTGCAGTGAGCTCACGCCTTGCTGCAGTGAGCTCACGCGTTGCTGCAGTGAGCTCACGCCTTGCTGCAGTGAGCTCACGCGTTGCTGCAGTGAGCTCACGCCTTGCTGCAGTGAGCTCACGCGTTGCTGCAGTGAGCTCACGCCTTGCTGCAGTGAGCTCACGCCTTGCTGCAGTGAGCTCACGCCTTGCTGCAGTGAGCTCACGCCTTGCTGCAGTGAGCTCACGCCTTGCTGCAGTGAGCTCACGCCTTGCTGCAGTGAGCTCACGCCTTGCTGCAGTGAGCTCACGCGTTGCTGCAGTGAGCTCACGCCTTGCTGCAGTGAGCTCACGCGTTGCTGCAGTGAGCTCACGCGTTGCTGCAGTGAGCTCACGCCTTGCTGCAGTGAGCTCACGCCTTGCTGCAGTGAGCTCACGCCTTGCTGCAGTGAGCTCACGCGTTGCTGCAGTGAGCTCACGCCTTGCTGCAGTGAGCTCACGCCTTGCTGCAGTGAGCTCACGCCTTGCTGCAGTGAGCTCACGCCTTGCTGCAGTGAGCTCACGCGTTGCTGCAGTGAGCTCACGCCTTGCTGCAGTGAGCTCACGCGTTGCTGCAGTGAGCTCACGCCTTGCTGCAGTGAGCTCACGCGTTGCTGCAGTGAGCTCACGCCTTGCTGCAGTGAGCTCACGCGTTGCTGCAGTGAGCTCACGCCTTGCTGCAGTGAGCTCACGCGTTGCTGCAGTGAGCTCACGCGTTGCTGCAGTGAGCTCACGCGTTGCTGCAGTGAGCTCACGCGTTGCTGCAGTGAGCTCACGCGTTGCTGCAGTGAGCTCACGCCTTGCTGCAGTGAGCTCACGCCTTGCTGCAGTGAGCTCACGCCTTGCTGCAGTGAGCTCACGCGTTGCTGCAGTGAGCTCACGCCTTGCTGCAGTGAGCTCACGCGTTGCTGCAGTGAGCTCACGCCTTGCTGCAGTGAGCTCACGCGTTGCTGCAGTGAGCTCACGCCTTGCTGCAGTGAGCTCACGCGTTGCTGCAGTGAGCTCACGCCTTGCTGCAGTGAGCTCACGCGTTGCTGCAGTGAGCTCACGCCTTGCTGCAGTGAGCTCACGCCTTGCTGCAGTGAGCTCACGCCTTGCTGCAGTGAGCTCACGCGTTGCTGCAGTGAGCTCACGCGTTGCTGCAGTGAGCTCACGCCTTGCTGCAGTGAGCTCACGCCTTGCTGCAGTGAGCTCACGCCTTGCTGCAGTGAGCTCACGCGTTGCTGCAGTGAGCTCACGCGTTGCTGCAGTGAGCTCACGCGTTGCTGCAGTGAGCTCACGCCTTGCTGCAGTGAGCTCACGCGTTGCTGCAGTGAGCTCACGCCTTGCTGCAGTGAGCTCACGCCTTGCTGCAGTGAGCTCACGCGTTGCTGCAGTGAGCTCACGCCTTGCTGCAGTGAGCTCACGCCTTGCTGCAGTGAGCTCACGCCTTGCTGCAGTGAGCTCACGCCTTGCTGCAGTGAGCTCACGCCTTGCTGCAGTGAGCTCACGCCTTGCTGCAGTGAGCTCACGCCTTGCTGCAGTGAGCTCACGCCTTGCTGCAGTGAGCTCACGCGTTGCTGCAGTGAGCTCACGCCTTGCTGCAGTGAGCTCACGCGTTGCTGCAGTGAGCTCACGCCTTGCTGCAGTGAGCTCACGCCTTGCTGCAGTGAGCTCACGCGTTGCTGCAGTGAGCTCACGCCTTGCTGCAGTGAGCTCACGCGTTGCTGCAGTGAGCTCACGCCTTGCTGCAGTGAGCTCACGCCTTGCTGCAGTGAGCTCACGCCTTGCTGCAGTGAGCTCACGCCTTGCTGCAGTGAGCTCACGCGTTGCTGCAGTGAGCTCACGCCTTGCTGCAGTGAGCTCACGCCTTGCTGCAGTGAGCTCACGCCTTGCTGCAGTGAGCTCACGCCTTGCTGCAGTGAGCTCACGCGTTGCTGCAGTGAGCTCACGCCTTGCTGCAGTGAGCTCACGCGTTGCTGCAGTGAGCTCACGCCTTGCTGCAGTGAGCTCACGCGTTGCTGCAGTGAGCTCACGCGTTGCTGCAGTGAGCTCACGCGTTGCTGCAGTGAGCTCACGCCTTGCTGCAGTGAGCTCACACGTTGCTGCAGTGAGCTCACGCGTTGCTGCAGTGAGCTCACGCGTTGCTGCAGTGAGCTCACGCGTTGCTGCAGTGAGCTCACGCGTTGCTGCAGTGAGCTCACGCCTTGCTGCAGTGAGCTCACGCCTTGCTGCAGTGAGCTCACGCCTTGCTGCAGTGAGCTCACGCGTTGCTGCAGTGAGCTCACGCCTTGCTGCAGTGAGCTCACGCGTTGCTGCAGTGAGCTCACGCGTTGCTGCAGTGAGCTCACGCGTTGCTGCAGTGAGCTCACGCCTTGCTGCAGTGAGCTCACGCCTTGCTGCAGTGAGCTCACGCCTTGCTGCAGTGAGCTCACGCCTTGCTGCAGTGAGCTCACGCCTTGCTGCAGTGAGCTCACGCCTTGCTGCAGTGAGCTCACGCGTTGCTGCAGTGAGCTCACGCCTTGCTGCAGTGAGCTCACGCGTTGCTGCAGTGAGCTCACGCCTTGCTGCAGTGAGCTCACGCGTTGCTGCAGTGAGCTCACGCCTTGCTGCAGTGAGCTCACGCCTTGCTGCAGTGAGCTCACGCCTTGCTGCAGTGAGCTCACGCCTTGCTGCAGTGAGCTCACGCGTTGCTGCAGTGAGCTCACGCGTTGCTGCAGTGAGCTCACGCGTTGCTGCAGTGAGCTCACGCGTTGCTGCAGTGAGCTCACGCCTTGCTGCAGTGAGCTCACGCCTTGCTGCAGTGAGCTCACGCCTTGCTGCAGTGAGCTCACGCCTTGCTGCAGTGAGCTCACGCCTTGCTGCAGTGAGCTCACGCGTTGCTGCAGTGAGCTCACGCGTTGCTGCAGTGAGCTCACGCGTTGCTGCAGTGAGCTCACGCCTTGCTGCAGTGAGCTCACGCCTTGCTGCAGTGAGCTCACGCGTTGCTGCAGTGAGCTCACACGTTGCTGCAGTGAGCTCACGCGTTGCTGCAGTGAGCTCACGCCTTGCTGCAGTGAGCTCACGCGTTGCTGCAGTGAGCTCACGCCTTGCTGCAGTGAGCTCACGCCTTGCTGCAGTGAGCTCACGCGTTGCTGCAGTGAGCTCACGCCTTGCTGCAGTGAGCTCACGCGTTGCTGCAGTGAGCTCACGCATTGCTGCAGTGAGCTCACGCCTTGCTGCAGTGAGCTCACGCGTTGCTGCAGTGAGCTCACGCATTGCTGCAGTGAGCTCACGCCTTGCTGCAGTGAGCTCACGCCTTGCTGCAGTGAGCTCACGCGTTGCTGCAGTGAGCTCACGCGTTGCTGCAGTGAGCTCACGCCTTGCTGCAGTGAGCTCACGCCTTGCTGCAGTGAGCTCACGCATTGCTGCAGTGAGCTCACGCATTGCTGCAGTGAGCTCACGCCTTGCTGCAGTGAGCTCACGCGTTGCTGCAGTGAGCTCACGCCTTGCTGCAGTGAGCTCACGCCTTGCTGCAGTGAGCTCACGCCTTGCTGCAGTGAGCTCACGCCTTGCTGCAGTGAGCTCACGCGTTGCTGCAGTGAGCTCACGCATTGCTGCAGTGAGCTCACGCGTTGCTGCAGTGAGCTCACGCCTTGCTGCAGTGAGCTCACGCCTTGCTGCAGTGAGCTCACGCGTTGCTGCAGTGAGCTCACGCCTTGCTGCAGTGAGCTCACGCGTTGCTGCAGTGAGCTCACGCGTTGCTGCAGTGAGCTCACGCCTTGCTGCAGTGAGCTCACGCGTTGCTGCAGTGAGCTCACGCCTTGCTGCAGTGAGCTCACGCGTTGCTGCAGTGAGCTCACGCCTTGCTGCAGTGAGCTCACGCGTTGCTGCAGTGAGCTCACGCCTTGCTGCAGTGAGCTCACGCCTTGCTGCAGTGAGCTCACGCGTTGCTGCAGTGAGCTCACGCATTGCTGCAGTGAGCTCACGCCTTGCTGCAGTGAGCTCACGCCTTGCTGCAGTGAGCTCACGCCTTGCTGCAGTGAGCTCACGCGTTGCTGCAGTGAGCTCACGCATTGCTGCAGTGAGCTCACGCCTTGCTGCAGTGAGCTCACGCCTTGCTGCAGTGAGCTCACGCCTTGCTGCAGTGAGCTCACGCCTTGCTGCAGTGAGCTCACGCGTTGCTGCAGTGAGCTCACGCCTTGCTGCAGTGAGCTCACGCCTTGCTGCAGTGAGCTCACGCGTTGCTGCAGTGAGCTCACGCCTTGCTGCAGTGAGCTCACGCGTTGCTGCAGTGAGCTCACGCCTTGCTGCAGTGAGCTCACGCCTTGCTGCAGTGAGCTCACGCGTTGCTGCAGTGAGCTCACGCATTGCTGCAGTGAGCTCACGCCTTGCTGCAGTGAGCTCACGCCTTGCTGCAGTGAGCTCACGCGTTGCTGCAGTGAGCTCACGCGTTGCTGCAGTGAGCTCACGCCTTGCTGCAGTGAGCTCACGCCTTGCTGCAGTGAGCTCACGCCTTGCTGCAGTGAGCTCACGCCTTGCTGCAGTGAGCTCACGCCTTGCTGCAGTGAGCTCACGCGTTGCTGCAGTGAGCTCACGCCTTGCTGCAGTGAGCTCACGCCTTGCTGCAGTGAGCTCACGCCTTGCTGCAGTGAGCTCACGCCTTGCTGCAGTGAGCTCACGCGTTGCTGCAGTGAGCTCACGCCTTGCTGCAGTGAGCTCACGCGTTGCTGCAGTGAGCTCACGCCTTGCTGCAGTGAGCTCACGCCTTGCTGCAGTGAGCTCACGCGTTGCTGCAGTGAGCTCACGCCTTGCTGCAGTGAGCTCACGCGTTGCTGCAGTGAGCTCACGCGTTGCTGCAGTGAGCTCACGCGTTGCTGCAGTGAGCTCACGCCTTGCTGCAGTGAGCTCACGCCTTGCTGCAGTGAGCTCACGCGTTGCTGCAGTGAGCTCACGCGTTGCTGCAGTGAGCTCACGCCTTGCTGCAGTGAGCTCACGCCTTGCTGCAGTGAGCTCACGCCTTGCTGCAGTGAGCTCACGCCTTGCTGCAGTGAGCTCACGCGTTGCTGCAGTGAGCTCACGCGTTGCTGCAGTGAGCTCACGCGTTGCTGCAGTGAGCTCACGCCTTGCTGCAGTGAGCTCACGCCTTGCTGCAGTGAGCTCACGCCTTGCTGCAGTGAGCTCACGCGTTGCTGCAGTGAGCTCACGCGTTGCTGCAGTGAGCTCACGCCTTGCTGCAGTGAGCTCACGCGTTGCTGCAGTGAGCTCACGCCTTGCTGCAGTGAGCTCACGCCTTGCTGCAGTGAGCTCACGCGTTGCTGCAGTGAGCTCACGCCTTGCTGCAGTGAGCTCACGCGTTGCTGCAGTGAGCTCACGCCTTGCTGCAGTGAGCTCACGCCTTGCTGCAGTGAGCTCACGCGTTGCTGCAGTGAGCTCACGCCTTGCTGCAGTGAGCTCACGCCTTGCTGCAGTGAGCTCACGCCTTGCTGCAGTGAGCTCACGCGTTGCTGCAGTGAGCTCACGCGTTGCTGCAGTGAGCTCACGCCTTGCTGCAGTGAGCTCACGCCTTGCTGCAGTGAGCTCACGCCTTGCTGCAGTGAGCTCACGCCTTGCTGCAGTGAGCTCACGCCTTGCTGCAGTGAGCTCACGCCTTGCTGCAGTGAGCTCACGCGTTGCTGCAGTGAGCTCACGCCTTGCTGCAGTGAGCTCACGCGTTGCTGCAGTGAGCTCACGCCTTGCTGCAGTGAGCTCACGCCTTGCTGCAGTGAGCTCACGCGTTGCTGCAGTGAGCTCACGCGTTGCTGCAGTGAGCTCACGCGTTGCTGCAGTGAGCTCACGCGTTGCTGCAGTGAGCTCACGCCTTGCTGCAGTGAGCTCACGCGTTGCTGCAGTGAGCTCACGCCTTGCTGCAGTGAGCTCACGCGTTGCTGCAGTGAGCTCACGCCTTGCTGCAGTGAGCTCACGCGTTGCTGCAGTGAGCTCACGCCTTGCTGCAGTGAGCTCACGCCTTGCTGCAGTGAGCTCACGCGTTGCTGCAGTGAGCTCACGCCTTGCTGCAGTGAGCTCACGCCTTGCTGCAGTGAGCTCACGCCTTGCTGCAGTGAGCTCACGCCTTGCTGCAGTGAGCTCACGCGTTGCTGCAGTGAGCTCACGCCTTGCTGCAGTGAGCTCACGCCTTGCTGCAGTGAGCTCACGCCTTGCTGCAGTGAGCTCACGCCTTGCTGCAGTGAGCTCACGCGTTGCTGCAGTGAGCTCACGCGTTGCTGCAGTGAGCTCACGCCTTGCTGCAGTGAGCTCACGCGTTGCTGCAGTGAGCTCACGCCTTGCTGCAGTGAGCTCACGCGTTGCTGCAGTGAGCTCACGCGTTGCTGCAGTGAGCTCACGCCTTGCTGCAGTGAGCTCACGCGTTGCTGCAGTGAGCTCACGCCTTGCTGCAGTGAGCTCACGCCTTGCTGCAGTGAGCTCACGCCTTGCTGCAGTGAGCTCACGCCTTGCTGCAGTGAGCTCACGCGTTGCTGCAGTGAGCTCACGCGTTGCTGCAGTGAGCTCACGCCTTGCTGCAGTGAGCTCACGCCTTGCTGCAGTGAGCTCACGCCTTGCTGCAGTGAGCTCACGCGTTGCTGCAGTGAGCTCACGCGTTGCTGCAGTGAGCTCACGCCTTGCTGCAGTGAGCTCACGCCTTGCTGCAGTGAGCTCACGCCTTGCTGCAGTGAGCTCACGCCTTGCTGCAGTGAGCTCACGCCTTGCTGCAGTGAGCTCACGCGTTGCTGCAGTGAGCTCACGCCTTGCTGCAGTGAGCTCACGCCTTGCTGCAGTGAGCTCACGCCTTGCTGCAGTGAGCTCACGCCTTGCTGCAGTGAGCTCACGCGTTGCTGCAGTGAGCTCACGCCTTGCTGCAGTGAGCTCACGCGTTGCTGCAGTGAGCTCACGCCTTGCTGCAGTGAGCTCACGCCTTGCTGCAGTGAGCTCACGCGTTGCTGCAGTGAGCTCACGCCTTGCTGCAGTGAGCTCACGCGTTGCTGCAGTGAGCTCACGCCTTGCTGCAGTGAGCTCACGCGTTGCTGCAGTGAGCTCACGCCTTGCTGCAGTGAGCTCACGCGTTGCTGCAGTGAGCTCACGCGTTGCTGCAGTGAGCTCACGCGTTGCTGCAGTGAGCTCACGCCTTGCTGCAGTGAGCTCACGCCTTGCTGCAGTGAGCTCACGCCTTGCTGCAGTGAGCTCACGCCTTGCTGCAGTGAGCTCACGCGTTGCTGCAGTGAGCTCACGCGTTGCTGCAGTGAGCTCACGCGTTGCTGCAGTGAGCTCACGCCTTGCTGCAGTGAGCTCACGCCTTGCTGCAGTGAGCTCACGCGTTGCTGCAGTGAGCTCACGCGTTGCTGCAGTGAGCTCACGCGTTGCTGCAGTGAGCTCACGCCTTGCTGCAGTGAGCTCACGCGTTGCTGCAGTGAGCTCACGCGTTGCTGCAGTGAGCTCACGCCTTGCTGCAGTGAGCTCACGCCTTGCTGCAGTGAGCTCACGCCTTGCTGCAGTGAGCTCACGCGTTGCTGCAGTGAGCTCACGCCTTGCTGCAGTGAGCTCACGCGTTGCTGCAGTGAGCTCACGCGTTGCTGCAGTGAGCTCACGCGTTGCTGCAGTGAGCTCACGCGTTGCTGCAGTGAGCTCACGCCTTGCTGCAGTGAGCTCACGCGTTGCTGCAGTGAGCTCACGCGTTGCTGCAGTGAGCTCACGCCTTGCTGCAGTGAGCTCACGCCTTGCTGCAGTGAGCTCACGCATTGCTGCAGTGAGCTCACGCCTTGCTGCAGTGAGCTCACGCCTTGCTGCAGTGAGCTCACGCGTTGCTGCAGTGAGCTCACGCATTGCTGCAGTGAGCTCACGCCTTGCTGCAGTGAGCTCACGCCTTGCTGCAGTGAGCTCACGCCTTGCTGCAGTGAGCTCACGCGTTGCTGCAGTGAGCTCACGCCTTGCTGCAGTGAGCTCACGCGTTGCTGCAGTGAGCTCACGCCTTGCTGCAGTGAGCTCACGCCTTGCTGCAGTGAGCTCACGCGTTGCTGCAGTGAGCTCACGCCTTGCTGCAGTGAGCTCACGCGTTGCTGCAGTGAGCTCACGCGTTGCTGCAGTGAGCTCACGCGTTGCTGCAGTGAGCTCACGCCTTGCTGCAGTGAGCTCACGCCTTGCTGCAGTGAGCTCACGCGTTGCTGCAGTGAGCTCACGCCTTGCTGCAGTGAGCTCACGCCTTGCTGCAGTGAGCTCACGCCTTGCTGCAGTGAGCTCACGCCTTGCTGCAGTGAGCTCACGCGTTGCTGCAGTGAGCTCACGCGTTGCTGCAGTGAGCTCACGCGTTGCTGCAGTGAGCTCACGCGTTGCTGCAGTGAGCTCACGCCTTGCTGCAGTGAGCTCACGCGTTGCTGCAGTGAGCTCACGCGTTGCTGCAGTGAGCTCACGCCTTGCTGCAGTGAGCTCACGCGTTGCTGCAGTGAGCTCACGCCTTGCTGCAGTGAGCTCACGCGTTGCTGCAGTGAGCTCACGCATTGCTGCAGTGAGCTCACGCCTTGCTGCAGTGAGCTCACGCGTTGCTGCAGTGAGCTCACGCATTGCTGCAGTGAGCTCACGCCTTGCTGCAGTGAGCTCACGCCTTGCTGCAGTGAGCTCACGCGTTGCTGCAGTGAGCTCACGCGTTGCTGCAGTGAGCTCACGCCTTGCTGCAGTGAGCTCACGCCTTGCTGCAGTGAGCTCACGCGTTGCTGCAGTGAGCTCACGCGTTGCTGCAGTGAGCTCACGCCTTGCTGCAGTGAGCTCACGCCTTGCTGCAGTGAGCTCACGCGTTGCTGCAGTGAGCTCACGCCTTGCTGCAGTGAGCTCACGCCTTGCTGCAGTGAGCTCACGCCTTGCTGCAGTGAGCTCACGCGTTGCTGCAGTGAGCTCACGCGTTGCTGCAGTGAGCTCACGCGTTGCTGCAGTGAGCTCACGCGTTGCTGCAGTGAGCTCATGCCTTGCTGCAGTGAGCTCACGCCTTGCTGCAGTGAGCTCACGCCTTGCTGCAGTGAGCTCACGCGTTGCTGCAGTGAGCTCACGCCTTGCTGCAGTGAGCTCACGCCTTGCTGCAGTGAGCTCACGCGTTGCTGCAGTGAGCTCACGCGTTGCTGCAGTGAGCTCACGCCTTGCTGCAGTGAGCTCACGCGTTGCTGCAGTGAGCTCACGCATTGCTGCAGTGAGCTCACGCCTTGCTGCAGTGAGCTCACGCGTTGCTGCAGTGAGCTCACGCCTTGCTGCAGTGAGCTCACGCCTTGCTGCAGTGAGCTCACGCCTTGCTGCAGTGAGCTCACGCCTTGCTGCAGTGAGCTCACGCGTTGCTGCAGTGAGCTCACGCATTGCTGCAGTGAGCTCACGCCTTGCTGCAGTGAGCTCACGCCTTGCTGCAGTGAGCTCACGCCTTGCTGCAGTGAGCTCACGCCTTGCTGCAGTGAGCTCACGCGTTGCTGCAGTGAGCTCACGCCTTGCTGCAGTGAGCTCACGCGTTGCTGCAGTGAGCTCACGCCTTGCTGCAGTGAGCTCACGCCTTGCTGCAGTGAGCTCACGCGTTGCTGCAGTGAGCTCACGCCTTGCTGCAGTGAGCTCACGCCTTGCTGCAGTGAGCTCACGCGTTGCTGCAGTGAGCTCACGCGTTGCTGCAGTGAGCTCACGCCTTGCTGCAGTGAGCTCACGCGTTGCTGCAGTGAGCTCACGCCTTGCTGCAGTGAGCTCACGCCTTGCTGCAGTGAGCTCACGCGTTGCTGCAGTGAGCTCACGCGTTGCTGCAGTGAGCTCACGCCTTGCTGCAGTGAGCTCACGCCTTGCTGCAGTGAGCTCACGCCTTGCTGCAGTGAGCTCACGCGTTGCTGCAGTGAGCTCACGCCTTGCTGCAGTGAGCTCACGCCTTGCTGCAGTGAGCTCACGCCTTGCTGCAGTGAGCTCACGCCTTGCTGCAGTGAGCTCACGCGTTGCTGCAGTGAGCTCACGCCTTGCTGCAGTGAGCTCACGCCTTGCTGCAGTGAGCTCACGCGTTGCTGCAGTGAGCTCACGCGTTGCTGCAGTGAGCTCACGCGTTGCTGCAGTGAGCTCACGCCTTGCTGCAGTGAGCTCACGCGTTGCTGCAGTGAGCTCACGCCTTGCTGCAGTGAGCTCACGCCTTGCTGCAGTGAGCTCACGCGTTGCTGCAGTGAGCTCACGCCTTGCTGCAGTGAGCTCACGCCTTGCTGCAGTGAGCTCACGCCTTGCTGCAGTGAGCTCACGCGTTGCTGCAGTGAGCTCACGCCTTGCTGCAGTGAGCTCACGCGTTGCTGCAGTGAGCTCACGCCTTGCTGCAGTGAGCTCACGCCTTGCTGCAGTGAGCTCACGCGTTGCTGCAGTGAGCTCACGCCTTGCTGCAGTGAGCTCACGCGTTGCTGCAGTGAGCTCACGCCTTGCTGCAGTGAGCTCACGCCTTGCTGCAGTGAGCTCACGCGTTGCTGCAGTGAGCTCACGCCTTGCTGCAGTGAGCTCACGCCTTGCTGCAGTGAGCTCACGCCTTGCTGCAGTGAGCTCACGCGTTGCTGCAGTGAGCTCACGCGTTGCTGCAGTGAGCTCACGCCTTGCTGCAGTGAGCTCACGCCTTGCTGCAGTGAGCTCACGCCTTGCTGCAGTGAGCTCACGCCTTGCTGCAGTGAGCTCACGCCTTGCTGCAGTGAGCTCACGCGTTGCTGCAGTGAGCTCACGCATTGCTGCAGTGAGCTCACGCGTTGCTGCAGTGAGCTCACGCCTTGCTGCAGTGAGCTCACGCCTTGCTGCAGTGAGCTCACGCCTTGCTGCAGTGAGCTCACGCCTTGCTGCAGTGAGCTCACGCCTTGCTGCAGTGAGCTCACGCCTTGCTGCAGTGAGCTCACGCCTTGCTGCAGTGAGCTCACGCCTTGCTGCAGTGAGCTCACGCCTTGCTGCAGTGAGCTCACGCCTGCTCTTGCTGCTGCAGTGAGCTCACACGTTGCTGCAGTGAGCTCACGCGTTGCTGCAGTGAGCTCACGCATTGCTGCAGTGAGCTCACGCCTTGCTGCAGTGAGCTCACGCCTTGCTGCAGTGAGCTCACGCGTTGCTGCAGTGAGCTCACGCGTTGCTGCAGTGAGCTCACGCCTTGCTGCAGTGAGCTCACGCGTTGCTGCAGTGAGCTCACGCCTTGCTGCAGTGAGCTCACGCCTTGCTGCAGTGAGCTCACGCCTTGCTGCAGTGAGCTCACGCGTTGCTGCAGTGAGCTCACGCGTTGCTGCAGTGAGCTCACGCGTTGCTGCAGTGAGCTCACGCCTTGCTGCAGTGAGCTCACGCCTTGCTGCAGTGAGCTTTTTTTTTGCCTCACGCCTTGCTGCAGTGAGCTCACGCGTTGCTGCAGTGAGCTCACGCCTTGCTGCAGTGAGCTCACGCCTTGCTGCAGTGAGCTCACGCCTTGCTGCAGTGAGCTCACGCCTTGCTGCAGTGAGCTCACGCCTTGCTGCAGTGAGCTCACGCCTTGCTGCAGTGAGCTCACGCGTTGCTGCAGTGAGCTCACGCCTTGCTGCAGTGAGCTCACGCGTTGCTGCAGTGAGCTCACGCCTTGCTGCAGTGAGCTCACGCCTTGCTGCAGTGAGCTCACGCCTTGCTGCAGTGAGCTCACGCCTTGCTGCAGTGAGCTCACGCGTTGCTGCAGTGAGCTCACGCCTTGCTGCAGTGAGCTCACGCCTTGCTGCAGTGAGCTCACGCCTTGCTGCAGTGAGCTCACGCCTTGCTGCAGTGAGCTCACGCCTTGCTGCAGTGAGCTCACGCATTGCTGCAGTGAGCTCACGCCTTGCTGCAGTGAGCTCACGCGTTGCTGCAGTGAGCTCACGCCTTGCTGCAGTGAGCTCACGCGTTGCTGCAGTGAGCTCACGCCTTGCTGCCTGAGCTCACGCGTTGCTGCAGTGAGCTCACGCGTTGCTGCAGTGAGCTCACGCGTTGCTGCAGTGAGCTCACGCCTTGCTGCAGTGAGCTCACGCGTTGCTGCAGTGAGCTCACGCCTTGCTGCAGTGAGCTCACGCGTTGCTGCAGTGAGCTCACGCCTTGCTGCAGTGAGCTCACGCCTTGCTGCAGTGAGCTCACGCCTTGCTGCAGTGAGCTCACGCCTTGCTGCAGTGAGCTCAGCAGCGATGCAGTCAGTGAGCTCACGCCTTGCTGCAGTGAGCTCACGCGTTGCTGCAGTGAGCTCAACGCTTGCTGCAGTGAGCTCACGCTTGCTTGCAGTGAGCTCACGCCTTGCTGCAGTGAGCTCACGCCTTGCTGCAGTGAGCTCACGCGTTGCTGCAGTGAGCTCACGCCTTGCTGCAGTGAGCTCACGCGTCTGTGTGCAGTGAGCTCACGCGTTGCTGCAGTGAGCTCACGCCTTGCTGCAGTGAGCTCACGCGTTGCTGCAGTGAGCTCACGCCTTGCTGCAGTGAGCTCACGCCTTGCTGCAGTGAGCTCACGCCTTGCTGCAGTGAGCTCACGCGTTGCTGCAGTGAGCTCACGCGTTGCTGCAGTGAGCTCACGCCTTGCTGCAGTGAGCTCACGCCTTGCTGCAGTGAGCTCACGCCTTGCTGCAGTGAGCTCACGCCTTGCTGCAGTGAGCTCACGCCTTGCTGCAGTGAGCTCACGCCTTGCTGCAGTGAGCTCACGCGTTGCTGCAGTGAGCTCACGCGTTGCTGCAGTGAGCTCACGCCTTGCTGCAGTGAGCTCACGCGTTGCTGCAGTGAGCTCACGCCTTGCTGCAGTGAGCTCACGCCTTGCTGCAGTGAGCTCACGCCTTGCTGCAGTGAGCTCACGCGTTGCTGCAGTGAGCTCACGCCTTGCTGCAGTGCAGTGCGCACTGCGTGCTGCAGTGAGCTCACGCCTTGCTGCAGTGAGCTCACGCGTTGCTGCAGTGAGCTCACGCCTTGCTGCAGTGAGCTCACGCGTTGCTGCAGTGAGCTCACGCCTTGCTGCAGTGAGCTCACGCCTTGCTGCAGTGAGCTCACGCCTTGCTGCAGTGAGCTCACGCGTTGCTGCAGTGAGCTCACGCCTTGCTGCAGTGAGCTCACGCGTTGCTGCAGTGAGCTCACGCGTTGCTGCAGTGAGCTCACGCCTTGCTGCAGTGAGCTCACGCGTTGCTGCAGTGAGCTCACGCCTTGCTGCAGTGAGCTCACGCGTTGCTGCAGTGAGCTCACGCCTTGCTGCAGTGAGCTCACGCGTTGCTGCAGTGAGCTCACGCGTTGCTGCAGTGAGCTCATGCGTTGCTGCAGTGAGCTCACGCCTTGCTGCAGTGAGCTCACGCATTGCTGCAGTGAGCTCACGCGTTGCTGCAGTGAGCTCACGCCTTGCTGCAGTGAGCTCACGCGTTGCTGCAGTGAGCTCACGCATTGCTGCAGTGAGCTCACGCCTTGCTGCAGTGAGCTCACGCCTTGCTGCAGTGGAGCTAACGCCTTGCTGCAGTGAGCTCACGCCTTGCTGCAGTGAGCTCACGCCTTGCTGCAGTGAGCTCACGCCTTGCTGCAGTGAGCTCACGCGTTGCTGCAGTGAGCTCACGCGTTGCTGCAGTGAGCTCACGCCTTGCTGCAGTGAGCTCACGCGTTGCTGCAGTGAGCTCACGCCTTGCTGCAGTGAGCTCACGCGTTGCTGCAGTGAGCTCACGCCTTGCTGCAGTGAGCTCACGCATTGCTGCAGTGAGCTCACGCCTTGCTGCAGTGAGCTCACGCCTTGCTGCAGTGAGCTCACGCGTTGCTGCAGTGAGCTCACGCGTTGCTGCAGTGAGCTCACGCCTTGCTGCAGTGAGCTCACGCCTTGCTGCAGTGAGCTCACGCGTTGCTGCAGTGAGCTCACGCCTTGCTGCAGTGAGCTCACGCCTTGCTGCAGTGAGCTCACGCCTTGCTGCAGTGAGCTCACGCCTTGCTGCAGTGAGCTCACGCCTTGCTGCAGTGAGCTCACGCCTTGCTTGCCGTGAGCTCACTTGTTGCTGCAGTGAGCTCACGCCTTGCTGCAGTGAGCTCACGCCTTGCTGCAGTGAGCTCACGCCTTGCTGCAGTGAGCTCACGCCTTGCTGCAGTGAGCTCACGCGTTGCTGCAGTGAGCTCACGCCTTGCTGCAGTGAGCTCACGCGTTGCTGCAGTGAGCTCACGCCTTGCTGCAGTGAGCTCACGCTTGTGCAGTGAGCTCACACGTTGCTGCAGTGAGCTCACGCGTTGCTGCAGTGAGCTCACGCCTTGCTGCAGTGAGCTCACGCGTTGCTGCAGTGAGCTCACGCCTTGCTGCAGTGAGCTCACGCGTTGCTGCAGTGAGCTCACGCCTTGCTGCAGTGAGCTCACGCGTTGCTGCGTGAGCTCACGCTTGCTGCAGTGAGCTCACGCCTGCGCATTGAGCTCACGCCTTGCTGCAGTGAGCTCACGCCTTGCTGCAGTGAGCTCACGCCTTGCTGCAGTGAGCTCACGCCTTGCTGCAGTGAGCTCACGCGTTGCTGCAGTGAGCTCACGCCTTGCTGCAGTGAGCTCACGCGTTGCTGCAGTGAGCTCACGCCTTGCTGCAGTGAGCTCACGCCTTGCTGCAGTGAGCTCACGCCTTGCTGCAGTGAGCTCACGCCTTGCTGCAGTGAGCTCACGCGTTGCTTGCAGTGAGCTCACGCCGTGCTGCCAGTGAGCTCACGCGTTGCTGCAGTGAGCTCACGCTTGCGCAGTGAGCTCACGCCTTGCTGCAGTGAGCTCACGCGTTGCTGCAGTGAGCTCACGCGTTGCTGCAGTGAGCTCACGCCTTGCTGCAGTGAGCTCACGCGTTGCTGCAGTGAGCTCACGCCTTGCTCGCAGTGAGTCTAACGCGTTGCTGCAGTGAGCTCACGCGTTGCTTGCAGTGAGCTCACGCCTTGC